TATCATTGATGCGGTCAATTTCTGTTAACGTAACTGTTCATTAATTGTTGAAATTCTGAACACTACATTTTTCTGTTCTTAAGCATAGATGACCTTAGACACTGTGGTGACTTATTTCAAGATCCAAGTCATTGCTTTATCTTATGCCCAGCTTATAATATTCTAAGACATGTACTTCAAAAAATGTTTTTTTTTAAAGAACTTTCAAAACATTCTTCATGGTGTTGAATTTATGGATTACATCCTTTTTTCAAATTAGTACTTGCTGTTCAAACTTTTATTCAAAACAAAATTAAAAGATTTTAAAAGAATATAAAAAAAGTTCTGCAATATGTATATTACAGCAGGGGATCACTATAATTGACAAGCCTTATTTAGTATTCTTATATATTTATTAATATGTTTAATCACATTTCTTTTTCACTTCTTTAATTATATGAGGATCAGATCAATACCTAAATACTGATCAATAAAGGTGATTGGACTGTCGAACATTATAAATCTCAAATCGTGGAATTTGTTTTCTGGTAGATGAAGTAACACGCATACAGCCTTCACAGTATTCAGCAACCAATTTAGACACGTTAATATATATCTAACACCTTAAACCTAGCATCTTTGATAAGTTATTATGATTTTTATTTTTATATATAGAGAATATCATATGTTTTTTTTTTCAATATCACACCCATATCAACCCGAGACTCCAATATAATCTTAAGAGCTCTGCTCGCGGGATTATATTGGTTCAGGGTTGCTACGATGTGTGATATTGAAAAAGCCATATTATAATCACTTTATTATATACCTTGTATAAGTCGATGTTTTTCGCGTGACACATAACGTAATACAGAAAAGGGGTTTGATAAAGCCTTTGCAACCTTGACTGATATCGATATCATCACGGGTGACTGATACAGCATGGTTGCCATTGAATGTATTACAGACACAGTTTACTTGTATTTACTTCTAAGTATATAATAAATTATCTTATATGATTCCTGTCATCTATCATCATAATATTTGCCTTTGCACTTGCAATTATCCATCATTATTATATTATGACTATTGTTGAATATCAGTTGTATATAAGATGATTTTAATGTTTTATAATTTGAGTTATTTCCCTTAGAATTTAAACCGTCTTTGTACACAAGTATTTGTAATGTTGCTTTGTATTGGAGAGAATGTATATAGGCTTTAGCCTGATATCCAATTCTTTTCAGCCATTTTCTTTAATAAAATATGTTTCAATTAAAATTAGCCTCGGATGGATATTGTAGAAATTTGGTGTTCAACTTCGTTATCTATTTGGCTTTACAACTATTTTGTACAAGGGTCATATATTTGATCCTCCGAAAGCTAATTAAATTTACAAGCAAAATTAAGCATAGAACAAATTAAAGCACCTTAGTAAGCACGCTCACATACCACACGCCCCCACATTGTCACTGGGTAAACAAAAATTGTCAACTGATAAACATTTCTTGTGGATATGCACATATTTTGTCCTTATAATCTACTAAGTTTCATGAAATTCTGTTGTGTAGTTTCAGAGGAGTTCAGATGACAAACTGTTGCAGTCGTATATTGAGGCCAATAAGTGCAAAGGGGCATAACTCCTAGACAAAAATGAATGATAATTTCCTGTCGATATGCACGTCTGCATAGTATGTCCTTATTATCTACTAAGTTTCATGAAATTATGTTGTGTGGTTACAGAGGAGTTGCGATGACAAACTGGTGCAGTAGTATATTGAGGCCAATAAGTGCAAAGGAGCATAACTCCTAGAAAAAAAATGAATCATAATTTCCTGTCGATATGCACATCTACATACCGGTAGTATGTCCTTATTATCTATAAGTTTCATGAAATTCTGTTGTGTGGTTACAGGGGAGTTGCGATGACAAGAACAGGACTGACGGACTGACGGGCGGACGGATGGACGGACAGACAGACTGGTTAAAAACATTATACCCGACGCAAAAATTGCGTGGGTATAATTAACGCTTTTTTTCGCAACAACAATCCAGGTTCAACACGAAACATAGACCATGAGAACAAGAGTCAAACCTGCTCAAAGACTGCTGTACCTCTATTTTTGACATTTTTACCTATTATGTATGTTTATTTTGTTCACACATTGTTGTCAATATAATGGAATTTTATGCGACTGTCATACAAGTGAGAGGATTAGCTAGCTATAAAACCAGGTTTAATCCCCCATTTTCTACATAAGGAAATGCCCGTACCAAGTCAGGAATATGACAGTTGTTTTCCATTCGTTTGATGTGTTTGAGCTTTTGATTTTGCCTTTAATTTTGATAAAGGACTTTCCGTTTTGATTTTTCCTTGGAGTTCGGTATTTTTGTTATTTTACTTTTCAATGCCATTTATAACACTGAGTCTATAGCATTGTTCACAATATAGTTATTGTTGAGACTCACGAACCTTACTCAAGCTGTTGCATTTATATCACTAGAAAAAATATCAATAACAACACCGATGAATTTTTCGACAATTTGCAAAAATATTTAAAGTAGATCGGGTGTCTTTTTCTGAGCATCCCTTCTGAGCATGTTACAAACATACTGTTTTTGTTTTAAAAATATTTTACCAAGTATCAATCAATATACAACAAAGCAACTAAAACTTGAAATTTAAAGATTAAACTTTCAAAAAATTAAAAAAAAATTAAATGTCGTTAAGTAAATTTAAAATTTCAAAAAAAAAAAAAACCTTTTAAAATCAAGGGCAGATAACCATACTGCATTTGATAGGACGATTTTTATTTTTCAAGAAAATCAAGGCCTGTGACCCCCTATTTTTATTTGATATTTCAGATGTATTTATGAAAAGCAATTTTCTCTTCGAATTTTAACCAATTCTATCGTTTAATGTTTCCTCGATAAGGAAAAATTATGTTTCCCCTACATAAACAATAGTGACCCCCAGTTTTAAACGATACGAAGATAGGGACAGTGAAATCCTATTACAAATATAATGTGAGTAAACCAAAATAATGAAAGTTAAAGAAATGAATAACACCGTGAAAAGATGAGAGAACGTGGAAAATGCAGCAGAATGAACAACGCACACACTCATTTATCCACCAACACACACACACACCCTTACAAACATAAAAGAAAGCAAAATATAGGTATTGAAAATAACTGATTTCAGAGCGTTCGACAAGAGTCTCTGGATTAATCTTCACCGTTAGAGAAAAGTAGTTTGGAAAGCCATACAAATAAAACAAAAATATATAACACTGTGGAAAGAACATCAATTCAGTACTATCCAGTAACTTCTCGGACATTTCAGAATGATGTTGATGTGTACAGGTAAATAACAACTACACAAAATATCATTGGCACTCATACCACATCTTATTATTTATATGAATAGTCTGATCATAGAATGAACAACTCTTAATTGACACCAAATGAATTTTCTGAACATTACTGAATTTACCCCAGAAGATAAGCCTAAAAAATGACTGAAGACAAAAAAATAGTTTTTTCTTGTTTCATTATGAATCTGTTTATTTAGTTGTGAATGACTGCACTGCTCTATTCAGAGCACCATGATTAGATTAATAAAATATGTATATGTATATGCTGCAGAATAAAGAAATCAAGCAATAGCAGTCTAAAGCATCAAAATCAAAAAAGAATTCAATAATCGGCCAGGGACTTGCAAACTTGTTCAAGTCAAATTGAGTTATTCATGAACAGACAAGATGTCAATCAAAATGTATCATTTAATGAATCTAATATAAAACACTGATTACTTTTATACTACAATATTTGATACTCGCGGACTTCCATGGACTTCAATACCAGCGTTCCAGTGGAATCTATTATAACGAAATTATAGATATTACAGCATTGGGAGAAATGCTCAGCGGCTTAAATTAAGCTGGAAAAATATTTATTTTAGTTTGAGTCCAATATCCTTTTTTTTATATTTTCAGTGCATACTAAGTGATGTGAATATAGAATGACAACCTGTTTGATCATTTTTCAAATGTCAAAATGATGTATAAAAGCATGTTAACCTTCATGGATAAGTTGACAACATTGTCTCAAAAATTAACTGATACCAGATGCTTCCAATTTCAAAAAGGGCAAACTATAATCATAAGACTCTCTTGTATTGCATGGAATTTATAAAGGATTTTTTTTCTTTATTTTTGCTAGAAAGGGGTTTGCATATAATTGTTGTTCATGGGGTTTTCAAACAACTTTGCATATCCACAAATATAGATATATGTTTATTGATTTATCTTCCAGGTAAAAACATCATTACTGGATATGCACTTAACACTATGATATTCGTATGACAGATCACAAAAAGGACAGATTAAAGACAAATAAAAATAACGTATTGAAAGAGAGCTAGCTGTAACTGAAGGCAAACACAAACGTCTTAAATTGTAAATATATAATCATGTCGTCATGCACTCTAACATCTATAGAATAGAGGCGGAAGATACCATGGGGACATTCTAAACTTATTAAACGAAGACAAAATGACAACGCCATGGAAATAATAATAATAATAAAACGACTAAAGTCCAACCAATATAAATAAGAAGATGTGGTATGAGTGGCAATCAGACAACTATCCATCCAAGTCACAATGTGTAAAAAGTAAACAATTATAGGTCAAAGAACGGCTGTCAACACGGAACCTTGGCTCACACCGAACAGCAAGCTATAAGGGACTCCAAAAGGCTAGTGTAAAACCATTCAAACAGGAAAACCAACGGTCTAATCTATATAAAAAAAAACGAGAAACGAGAAGCACTTATGAACCACACCAACAAACGACAACCATTGAACAACAGGCTTCTGACTTAGGACAGGTACATAAAAATGCAGTCCACAAAACAAGAAATCGAGACTGAGCAACATGAACATGTTATTTTTGGATGTTATTAACAGTATCTATGTGATTGGTGTTCTTACACCAAAATATAAACAGATGTCATATGTTCGGTAAACATGTACTTTTTATTTTCAACGACGCTTTTACAATTGTATTTGTGCTTTTACAAAATTTATTTATTTTATTGAATAATATGTACTAGTATACTGAAATGGTAAACTGTTCCACTCTTCATTATTTCAAGTATTGAATAATATTTGATACAAACATGCTTTACATTTTGATCGACTATCTTAAGTCGACTTCTCCAATCAATGAGGACCATGCAGTAATGACTGATTATTCATGAGTTTATTAAACTTTCCCCAATTCAGGTGGACCTTGACATCTCTTTTTATGATAACAATTTCATATTATAATATCATCAAAATATCAATAAGGAAATGAAATTACAAATCAACAGATAATGAGTTTTGTTTGGATGAAAAATGGTTAAACAATGTATTTCCTTTTAACTTTTGGCTTTTTTATATCGTTCCAATTTCTTATGGTATTTTGACATAGCAAAATCTTGTGACTGTATAGCGTCATGTTTTTGCTTATCAAACATTCTATCCATATTCCTAAACTTGTTTTCTTCGTTTTTACATAATGCCTTACACATGCGCACATCAATATCTACTTGACTCTGAGGTTCCCATGTATGGTCCAGGGATGTTTTTCTCTTTGGTCTCACTAGAACGTCCTTCGTGTGGTCCAACGATTTCCTTCTTTCGGGTTGTCCATTGGTCATTTCTCCACTTGTATTTACTGTTGAAATGTTTTCATAAATTTTACCGTCAACTTCAGTCCGTGTACTATTTGCTATTGTATGTGTTTTTATATTTTCATTTGACATTTTCAGTTCCTAAGACATTCAGTACAAATATCCTATAAATCTGTGTTCTTTCTTTTGATCTGAAAAAGTGTAAATTAGTTCTGAGTGTGATACAATAAACTGTTACCACACATGAAGGTACGTTAAAAATCCGAACAATTAACAATGAGGACTTGAAGGGTGCAAGTAAAGGAGTAAAATGCTTATTTTTCGGGATCACCAATTTTAACATTCGATTTTACTTGGATATTTGCAGTTCAATCATAAGTGTCCCGTGTTATGTTGTTTGTCTTTTTGGTTTTTCTTTTAGTCATGATTGCTGCTGCCCGTTGACTTACGATTTTGAATGCCTTACAGCAATTTTCTTATTTTTAGTGAATATCTTTAGCGTAAGGGGCAAACCTAAGAAACTAAAACATTTTGATTTTTCTTCAAACATATGTAAACGAATAAATGTAAATTAAGTTAAGTCTTTTAAGCCAAATTTAATTATGTTTCAACCACATTGTCGATAAAAAAAATGCAAGAAATATCGACCGTCACTCTACGACGTTTCAACCTAATGATCTCATTGTAAAATTACTGTTAAAAAAATTTAGTTACAAAGATGTATTACCACTGTTAAAATAACAAATGTTTTCATGCACAAAGATATGTTCTTACAGAGTTTTAGAGTAATCCAGTTTACACTAAATGACATAAATACGACAATTTGCTCCAAAAGGTCTATTCAATTGTGGACATGACATTTTCTCTGAATATGTTTTTGAGTATTAAACAGGGTACGGAAGTTTGATTTGTCAAATAATTCATCATGTCTACGAATCATTTAATACAAAAATGTAAACAAAGTTTTAAAACAAACAAATGACGGCAGATTAACGAAAGAAAAATAATGTTTTCCGAAAAAAGTAAGACCAGATGGTTCCTGGTTCATAAAGGCACTATCTTAATTTGAAAGGGAAAAATAAAATCAACTGTTTAATAAGGATAATAAAAACAGACAAAATTGTCCATTTTTACATGTACCTGTACTGTTGACAAAATGAGAAAAAAAGAAACTAAAATATGCGACAAGACCGACGATTTCAACTTTGCCACCACAAACTCTCCTTTTTGGGTCGTAATTTTACTGTTGTCGCATTTTATGGCGTGTACATTTTATAACTTGTTCGTATTGCTAGACTATGTTTTCCCTCGCATTAACACACACATTTCATCTCAAGGATACAGATATACCACTACTTTTGAATACTCCCAAATATTTTAGTCTATATTCAATCAGCGAATTTACTGTTAGTTAACAGTTTTTCGTAAAAATAATATGAGACAGTATTTCTCATCCTACATTGTGGTGCTGTTAATATAACTGGTATCTTACACCTGGCAACAGGCGTAATGTACTAAGTTAACTTATTTAGATTAATGGTTCTGTTTTCGAGCACTCAGAAACATGTTAAACCCCGCCTCACTCTTTATGTACCTGTCCGATCTGGAAACCTGCAATCCAGGGCTTGTCAATCGTCTGTCATATTTGTTTTCCTTCATTGTTGTAATTTAAATGACGTTGATTTTTTTCTAAATATTTTATCACTTTTATAGCTTAATATACAGTATGAATTTTGCTCATGTTGAAGGCCGTACGGTGACCTGTAATTTTGTTCTTTGGTCTAAATAGGAATGGTTGCTTCATTTGCAATCTTGTTACATCTACTTATTTTTATCTAGTTAATTCATATTGTATGATTGAGTTTATAGAACATAGGTCAATCGAGGTCTTTATGTTATCATCTTCAATATCATCAACATTTCATTTATACAAACCTTAGGCGGGATGGCTCTGCCTGGTGATTCTTTCCAGCTTTATAGCAATTATGAGGTTAAAGAGATGTCATATGGGGGCCTGAAGCAGTATTATAATGAACAAAGTCAAGGATTATCAAATATTAATGAAATTGCATTAAGTTTTCCAGCCCAAAATGGTCACGTTAATTAAGCTCGTACAGATGGAAAAAAATATTTTTGATTCTCTTTTATGGAAAAGGTTTAAATTTGATATTTATCTCAAAAGTTTACCCGGCCTGAAAATGTTCTGATATAAGACTTATTACTGTAGCAAAAGGTCACTACAATCGATCTGTCGCAGATAGAGGCTGCAAACACATAGTGGAACAATTCCACACATGTTTCTCATTGTTTTCAAAAAGTTCCTGGGATCAATTGTTACAATTCCCCCCACCCCCACCCCACCCCTCTCCGACAAATCGGAGATAAAGGTAACAAAGTTTTCTTTTTTAACATCAAATCTAGTCGTGATACAATTAATTATAACAATAATTCAACTGGAAGTGATCTTATAAATATTTTAGTCCACTCCCTGTTTTGGTATACGCTAACCGGGTATATCACGTGTTCAGTATACTTTAGTAACGAAATAAGTAAAAGAAATAAACTGCTAGTTTGAATATCTCGATGTAAGCACTGGTACATAAGTTCTGTTAAGCTCTATATTTGGCTTTCTTGAACAGTTATCTCAGCTCTTCGACCTTTTTGTTTTTGTTTTTGTTTTTTGTTTGAAAGTTAATATTGGTTGGAAATAACGAATCTAACTACTAATCCATTCAATGTAATAAATTCAAAAGATAAATTATATGAATTTTGTCAATTTATAATTTCTTTCAAATGAAAATAACACTTTATAATTTGCCGATTGCGAACCACTAATCTGGATTAACCTTCACCAAGAACGCCCAAACCCTACCATTTGAAAGTTTTTGATGTATAAATACTAAAATTTCGTTTTTAAAGTAGTAGTTTAAAGAATATAAATGTGAAATGTATCATAATTAAGTAAAATCAAGCAAGGCATAATACTTACATACCTCAGACTGTTTCAATGTTTTGAATGTTCACAATGAAAAGGCAAGTTTTCAATTATTGATAGGCGATAAGTTTACTAACAACTGTAGTATTTTTCAATATATTATCTCATAACCCTTTTATTCAATTATCAAAATTGATACCTGAGTTTACCAAAATCAAATATATTACTGCAGATAACGCATAGGTTTTCATTTTCTTTGTTTACTCCACATTGAAATACACGTTTTGTGGATATTTGAAATTGTTTCACGTAAAGAACTTATTTCAGAATTCTTTATGTTTAAAGTCACTGACATTTCATGTAGCAGTATAAATAATTATGACATAAATAAACAATCTACCGGTAGCTTGCATATACTATATACGCACATTCTACTGTACAAACTGTCCAAACCAGTCCATGTTCAAATTTATTCCGATCATTTCTGTACACGACTTAAAGAGTTTGTGACACATATCATAACCGCCTCTATTTAGAGCTTGACATATTGCATAAACACCTGTCTATTATTGTAGACAGTATTTGATCTCTAATTGTCTTTAATTTGGTTTTGTTTTAGTATCATATGGTTGTTTTCATTAACGAATATCTTCATCTCCTTTTATTCATATAGATGTATAATGTACAAAAACGTTCATTGATAATTAATTTGTATACATTATATGCAATTAAGTCTGTATCTGCATGACCTTTTTTTCAAAATATAATTTTCAGACTCTTAGATATTCAAAATGATATATTTTCATACTCATCATTGGGTGTAACAAGCGAATATTTGTATAAATTGGTATTTTTTTTATATTTCCATCATTTAAAAATCTGGAATTCGAAAGTTATAGAAAACAGAAATAAGAGACAGAGGATACCTAGCGGACATTCAAATCTCACGAGTCGAAAAGAAACTGACAACACCATGAACCCCCCCCCTTTCCCCCTTAAAACAAAACCCCGAAAGCCCGAAAATACAAACAACTTCACAAACGCTACATAGAAAACTAAGGACTGAGCAACACAAACCCAACCAAAAACTAGGGGTGAGCACCAGCAACTTTTTTTATAAAACGTCTTACGATTAAAATTGATCGTAAGTTATTCTTAAATGTGTATGACTTACGAGTGTTTTTAATTTTAAGATTTTTTTTAAAGAGCCGCAGAAGGGTAAGCAGATCCTGATCCACTAGTGGCATCAGCTGAGTTGCTCATGGTAATGACAAGTTCGATGATAACTCTATTTCGATGATGTCACAATCGAGGAAAAGAGGACGGGATTGTGGGTACGACAATAGGATCATATCCATGGTCATCTGTGACAGATATACTATAATGGTCAACTGAATCGTGGTGTACGAAGGGATGGCTTCAACTTTACCACTTTAACATAAATTCTATAGGGTCAAAAGAAGCAAGACTTATTTGTTATTGTCTGGATTTCTTTCGGTTTTCTAGCAGATACTGAGATTCATCTGAAGTGTGAAGTCCTGTACGTAGGGCTATATATTTATGTCAAACAGTCAAATGAAAATTGACCCTCGTGAGTTCAAACTATTTCGCATATAAAATATGGTGTTAAGTAGAATTTTAGGCAGCAAAAATTAAAACCAAGTTTACTTTATTTTATGTAACTAGAATATGACCATGCATTCTAGTTTATTGTTCGAGATTTGAGTATTTTTAGATAAGATAAATGTTCCTGTTAGTGAAATAGCCGAGAACAAGGTCAGGAATATCGTATTAACAGATTAGCTAACCCCACAGGCGTATTGCCACTTAATATTAACAGATTAGCTAACCCCACAGGCGTATTGCCAGTTAATATTAACAGATTAGCTAACCCCACAGGCGTATTGCCAGTTAATATTAACAGATTAGCTAACCCCACAGGCGTATTGCCACTTAATATAAACAGATTAGCTAACCCCACAGGCGTATTGCCACTTAATATATGGATCATCTCCGTGACACAGATAATTTATCTTTAAAGTAGTGTTTTGTTTCTCCTATCATGATTTTTTAATGGTAGATTTGCTTTTATTGATAACATTGAAATCCGATGTAAGCTTTAAAACTGCGCTGAAAATCGCCTTAAAAAGTACTTCTCAAGAGTTTCATATATATAAATCGATAATTTAATTGTGCACTATAAGCATTCATTATATGATAATATACCAATTGTTCTATCTGTCACTGCATTGCATAATTGAGGACAGTCATGAAATATAAGATGTTTTGTTATCAAGGTCGTTAAAACTAACCTTTCTAAAAATAAGGAGATGTGGTATGATTGACAATGAGACAACTATCCACCAGAGTTCAAACGAGGAAGCTATAAGCAAGTTTAGGTCACATTACGTGCCCATGAACAAGTCTGATTTCCTCATAACAAGTAGTTAAAATTTTCATAACAAGTAATTAAAATTTGTTTACTCATTGAACGTTTCTTTTCCCGATGTTTCTAGAATTCAAATCACGCAGTTTTTGTTAAATGCGTTTTTTCATATTGGCTTGCGTAGGAAGTCACGAAATGCTTAATTTGTGTCATGTAATGAACAACTGAAAAGTAAATAATGAAATTAATAATTAAAAACGTGACTTTAATTATGCATAAAATGACCTACAGTGTTTATTGTTTCATTTGCAAATGTATATCTTATGTTCTGGAAAATGTATTGGTCTACATGATTATATTTACGGCGTATATTGTCTTGATTAAAATGTTTCATAACAAGGTTAAATAATTACGCAGTTTGTCAAAAACATCAGGTGTCAGTAAACAGTCTAAATGATGAGGTGTTGCCGGGCAGATTGAAAAATTGCTTACAAAGTTCCAGTAAAAAACTGATCTTCAGATTCAAAAATCAATTATTTCAGAAATTATGGTAACATCTCAAACTACAGGTAAACAGCAGACATGAAAATTAAATACGTGTACAAATTCAAAAGAAATTTGAAAAATCGAAAGGTTTAAAATCAAGACATGATGCAGAAGCTGAATAACAATGAACAAATGTTTTAAACGGACCGTTGTTAAACTCAAAACAATCCATCATTTGGGTGCCCGAAATGAAACAGTATATAAACAGAACATCTAGAATAAACCAAGGTGACCTTTGCTTGAAGGTTTGCAAACCATGTTTGAGTATAGCTACATTGTTTTAAATCAGCATTTGCCGTCGACTTTAATCTTATTATTCAACATGGCGAAGATTAAAAAAAAGATAATGATTTTGTTTTAAATATTGTTAAAGCTTTTGGATGATATTACCTATAATTTATAAAAGACATACACAGTTATAGCATTTTTTTTATGTGAAATGATAAACTGTGGGTAAATATATAGACTGTATAAACATTTGTCCAGAGACTAGCGTTGGTGTCATCGCATCTGATTCGTCTCGCAAACGTCGCCCCGGTTAAAAGAAAGGAGAGGGGAAAAAAGCAAACGGCATATGAGGCTAGGGAGTTTTGCCTTCTTTTCAACTCTGTGTGGCGGTGCGTCGTCTTTTTTCTCTCGTCAAAATGATTTTTAAACAAAGGAAACGTCGAAACGACCCCAACCAGGGCCCTCGGTCATAAAACTTTATTCAGTACTCGAAGTACAAAATTTGTGCTTGAAATGACAAATCCAGTATTTTGACTGGTTGAATTCTGAGTCTGAGTACGATTATCGTGCTCGAAAGTTGTATGGCCGTAAGGCCGAGTGGGACAAACGATAGCAAAAAGAAAATGGACACGGCGGGCTGGGGGCTGCGACAGCGAAAGGAGGAAGGGTCGACTGGGCACCTTTCCCTTCAAAGTTATGGTACCCCGGCTCTCGGCCGATACCTATACATAATTATTTGTTTTACATTTTTCATAAAATTCCGCTTTTTACCCAATCGAATACGTATACATATGTTTTCAGAAATCTGCCGAATGACGACTACTGTTGCAAATTATAAATTTTTCATATCAGCCCATAGTCCAAACAATTATGACGTCTTGAAAGGCTCAAGACGCCTTACTTCGAAGTCGCAGTAAGGCGTCAAAGCAAAAAAATAAAATAGCCTTTCAAGACGTCATAATTATCTATACTACTAAAGGAATAGACCGATTTCATTCAGCCGCAACTCCTCTGAAACCATACAAAGTCAGAAATATTTGTGATATGACGTATAAATGTATTGTTTTGTACTTCCTAAATTTGTCTTTGAAACAATCTTTTTTCCACAGAAAACGCCAATTTTTGAGAAAATATCCAAATTCCGTTATCGATCCGTGTCTTATACGCTTTTGCGCATGCTCAGTCGACGTACTGCCCGCGAAATATTTAAATTTTAAAGTAAATTTGGATTTTATTAGATAAATACTTACCATCATAAATTCTAAATTCTGAGTGTAACCCCAATTGCGTCATAGGTCAGATGGAAAATCCCCACTAAAAATAAACGTACTCTCACTGGTCCGGACATATACCCCTGTTTGCCCATATTCTCCCATTCAATTTCCTCAAAACAGAAACGTAAGGAAAGGGGATGAAGGGGAGGCGGGTGGGACCTATAATTTATGATGGTAAGTATTTATCTAATAAAATCTAAATTTACTTTAAAATTTGAATATTTTATAGCTATAAATACGTTACCATCATAAATTCTGAGTAACAGAATCTAACGTAAAGCTGAATCCCCTTTAACAGAAGAAACAGGAGGAAAGTTCAATCTTTGTGCTGAAACTATAGGTCCAAGGGAGTATAAACTCTCGGCAAAAGTAGCCATAGATTGGAGATAATGAGATATAAAAGAGTTCTCATTTTTCCAGAAACCTGCAGACTCTTCTAAAGATGCACTGTTAAACAGAGCCCAGGATGTAGAGATACCCCTAACATCATGAGCTTTAACATTAAAATTATTTAAAAGTTCTGCCTTAGAAGAACCATAAGCTAAAGATATGCATTTGCATATCCAAGTAGTAATAGTTTTAACAGAAAGATCTGAGATTCCTTTTTTAATAGGAATAAAGAGTCTTGAGTTAGAAACAGAACGTAAACTACTCGTTCTATCCAGATAAATAGAAATGATTCTTACTGGACATAAAAGTACAGAAATAGAATCGCTAGGGAGTGCAGGAATCACGACTGGTTCTACACCCTTATCTGGAATCTGATTCTTTGCCAAAAAAGCAGGATCAGTTAAAAGAGTAACAGAAGATTTATCCCTGTTAAATCGAAGGTAAGCATCAGAAATAGAGAAGGCATGGATTTCACTCCTTCTCCGTCCAGAAGCCAAAGCTAAAAGAAAACAGCATTTATAGGAAAGAAACCTTAAATCTATTGTTTCTGCTGGTTCAAAAGGAGGAAGTTTTAAAAATGATAAAACTAGTCCAAGGTCCCACTTAGGAACTAAAGTTTTTTGTCTTGGTCTTTCAAGACTAA